CAGAAGAGAGACGCAAAAAAGAAAGCTCGCTGCTCCAAAACCTCTCACAGCACAAAGAAAAACATCTGAGAGAGGAAATGGAGAGCATGAAGAGAAAGCAACAAGAGGAAATTGAATACCTGAGACAGCAGTACAAAAGCCAGTGTGCCATCCTCTGATCTTCATCACTCATCAACTCTGTATTCCCAAAATGGAAAACATAAAATGATGATATTATTCATTATTAATGGTCATTATTAAACCAAAGGGCAAAATGTCATTATAACAAAGAACAAACGAAACTGAATAGATTAAAAAATAAGATTAGAAAAGAATTGAGCTAATGAATGTGAGTTCAGAGACTTGAAAGCTGCCGTGATCCTGCTGTTCTGGGAGGGTTCTGCCTTTTTTCTGTCCACAGAACCGTCGTTCCTCTGACAGATTCCTCTGGAAGCTGCAGGTCTCTGCATGCTGCAGTCAGGAACCACATGAGCAGAGGATTCCCAGGCTTCCTGTGAGATCTGCACCTTTTTTGGTGCTGGAGCTCCGCTGCATGGCGTGGGCTGGCTCCCCGACAGGTCTGAACCGGCCGGGGAATGCGCCGCTCCCCCCGGACCCCCAGAGCCTCCGGGAGCCGGTGCTGTGCCTCAGAGGAACCGGGTCCTGCACAGGGGACTCTGGCACTCGTTCAGGGCGAAAAGCTGTTTCCTCCTGCATTTCCCAGCATTTTTAGGCTTTGACAACATCCCGCTGGTCTTAAATTCAGAAAAATATGAAGATTAATGACACGTTGTCCGTGATGGAGTCTCAGCCTTTCACATTTCAGAGACTATCATCTTAAATCATCCAAAACATCAGTCGTTTTTCACTGTTTTCTACCAGTTTGGAGGCTTCAGCTGTTTATTCCTGTAAATAAACATTTTCTATTAAAAAAAAAATGTTGTTCAAAATAACCAGAAATGTCAAATAAATCTATTGTAAAAGGCATTTTTTGAATCTCCGTTCTTGGAGCATGAAATCTGAAGGTTGAATGCTCAGAAACGCCTGTAATCGTTTAAATCTGTGCATGCTCTGTGTTCTCCTCCCTGCATGCTGGTAAAGTGAAGATGCAGATGCATGAATGGATGGAATAAACGCCCCAGAACGCCCCAGTTAAAGGGAATGTTTCCCAAAATGAAAGCCTGAGCTTCAGGCCTCCGGCCGGCCCTGCTGAGGCCGACCTGCAGACGCTCTGATCTGACAGGAGTCCGGAACATTCTCCAGGAGCTCTGCAGCCGTTTGCTGGACGGATCCAGGTTTGGCCTGAGGAAACTTCAGTCTGTACCAAAGGGAAGCGTTTCTGGTTTGACCCTCCTGAGAGCCTGTCCGATGTGAGGACGACTTTGTACCAGTCTGAAATCTAAAGGAAAATGCTTTTAAACATTTTACACAAATCATGTTCTTATTGTGGAATCAAAATGTTGTAAATGAGTCGTTTGGACCCTCAGAACCAAATTTTTTTGTAAACTTTTAAATGCATAAATACACATTGTAAATAAATAAATATAAACTATTGAAGAATAACTACCTGAACCAGGACAAAGTCTAGTTCTTAAACTGATCAGCTCC